CGGGGCTCCCCCTCCCCGCGGGCCTAAGCGTGGTTCCTCTCCCGCTTTCCCGCAGCGCTTCTGTGCGGGGAGGGCGGTGCCTGGTCCTACCACGCCTCCGACGAGCCCATGACCTTCGACGAGGCCAGCGCTTACTGCCAGCGCAGATACACCCACCTGGTGGCCATTCAGAACCAGGACGAGATTCGGTACCTGGACTCCGTGTTCAGCCACGTGCAAACTTACTACTGGATCGGGATCCGAAAGGTCAACGGCCGGTGGGTGTGGATAGGGACCCAGAAGCCTCTGACGGAGGAAGCCGCCAACTGGGCTCCCGGGGAACCCAACAACAAGCAGAGCAACGAGGACTGCGTGGAGATCTACATCCAGAGGGCGCAGGACCGGGGCAAGTGGAACGACGAGAGATGCAGCAAGAGGAAGTTCGCCCTGTGCTACCGGGGTAGGTGCCAGGCGGGGGGCACCCGGGCAAACGCTGGCGCCGCCGAAACGGTTCTCCGTTGTGACTGTATGTCCTGAAAGACCTGGTTTTCAAGGGCCCTGTTTGATAAAGCGTCTCTGGGTTCTGCGTGCGAGTTAGGCGAGAACCCCGCGCGTCTGCGCCCTAAATGCGCGCAGAGGCCTGGCCCGGGCGCAGCGTGGACGCGCACCCACGGCCCAGTTCAGCGGCCTGTTTACTCGGGCAGGGGAGCTACCTTTAGGCCTTGTGGCCCAGCGGGATTTCTGTTCTTGGTGCCAGTGACGGCTGTACCCTGGCATCCGGGCACTAAAATCAAGGCCTAGAGCAGCCGGGCCCACCACTCAGCTCCCACTCTGTCAAGCGCGCCCTGCGACGCCTGGTGACATCTGTGCCGCACCCTGTGGACCCTAAAGCCAAGGGAACTCACCTTCCTTGCCGTGGCTGTGTGTCCACAGCTGCCTGCACCCAGGGGGCCTGCAGCGGCCGCGGGGACTGCGTGGAGACCATCAACAACTACACCTGCCAGTGCCACCCCGGCTTCAGCGGGCTGCAGTGTGAGGAAGGTACGCCGGGCGCCCGTCCCTTCCCTCCGCCCGACGCCCGTCCCTTCCCCCGGCCCGACGCCCGTCCCTTCCCTCCGCCCGACGCCCGTCCCTTCCCTCGGCCCGACGCCCGTCCCTTCCCTCGGCCGGACGCCCCGTCCCTTCCCTCCGCCCGACGCCCCGTCCCTTCCCTCCGCCCGACGCCCGTCCCTTCCCTCCGCCCGACGCCCCGTCCCTTCCCTCCGCCCGACGCCCGTCCCTTCCCTCCGCCCGACGCCCCCGCCCCTTCCCTCCGCCCGACGCCCCGTCCCTTCCCTCGGCCGCAGCGCCCCCGAGCTCGCCAGCTTTGGAGGCAGGTCCGCAGGCCTTCCCTTCCCGGGGGGCGTGGTGGCCCAGGGTTGGCGGTTAAGGGCTGAACTCGTGACGTCAGACCCTCCGGGTTCAAGTCCCAGATTCACAGGCGTTAAGCCCCGAATCCCAGTGTTCTTACTGGCTTCACAGGCTCAGTTAGGGCTCCGCGGCCCCCACGCAGATAGAACACGTTCAGGAAACGCACCAGGGCCAGGCCCAGGCCCGCAGCTTCCCACCCGCGGGAGCTGGGAGAGGAGCAGACTGACCTGGTTTCCCTCCGCAGCTGTGAGCTGTGGGGCCCGGGAAGCCCCCGAGCACGGGCGCCTGGTGTGCACCCACCCGCTGGGAAACTCCCGCTACCAGTCTTCCTGCGCCCTGCGCTGCGAGGAGGGCTACCGGCCCAGCAGCCCCGAGGCTGCGCGGTGCACGCCCTCCGGGGAGTGGAGCGCGCCCCTTCCGCGCTGCCAAGGTAAAGCCCTCCTCGCCTTAGCTTTGCATCCAACTTGGGACATTTGCAAACTCTAGGGAAAGTTCTTTTTGTCGCTGTTTTTTAATAAAACTAGTCCTCTCAGCCCATGGATGTGGCCAAGTTGGCACAGGCTCGGGGTGAGAGGTTTTTATTCTGTGTTCGAAATGGGGGTTTCTGATTTGTAAGAACACACACAACCACGAAGCGCCCCGGACCCTCAGCGGCTCTCTCCCCTTCCTGCCCTGTTTGACCTCAACAGACTCTCTTAGGGCCCGATAACCCAGGAGCCTTAGCATCTCTCTCTCTGCGTCTTATCTTCCAGGCCAGAGACAAGACTCTGTCCCCCGGACTATGGGTTAAAACAAACAAGTGTCTTTTGTGTGTCACTACTGTTTTTATCCCAACCAGCCACAAACCCCAGCTCAGGATCTGCTTTTCCTTCATTTCTGCCATAAGTAAAATAGATCATGTGATAGGACAGACCAGACACCGCTCAGCCCAAAGTCAGACTCAGAAAAGATGAAGATGCCCATGAAAAAGCGCGAAAGCTTTACTGTGGGTGCGCCCTGAGTTCATGGCAGATTTTGGGGTCCACCCTTGGAAGGCAGCCCCTCGCTCTGTCCTAAACTCAGGCTCCACGGGCAGGGAGCGCAGGGCCTCTAAACCCACGGCCCTCTTTCTCCAGTGGTTGAGTGTGACGCTCTGACGGGTCCTGCTGATGGATTCGTGGATTGTTCCCGAAGCTCAGGAAGCCTCCCGTGGAACACAAGCTGCACGTTTCGCTGCAGGGAAGGGTTTGAGCTGGTGGGGCCCCCGCGCCTCCAGTGCACCTCGTCCGGGGCCTGGGACACCGAGAAGCCCACGTGTAGAGGTAGGCGGCCCCCTCGAGTGTACTGCGCACGCTCTTTCCTTGAAATGGCCCAGCCAGACCTGCTCACGTGAAGGGTGCCTGTGTTCCAGCTGTGACCTGCGGCGTCCTCGGCCCACTGCGGAACGGCTCGGTGACCTGCAGCCCTCCCCTCGGTCACCCTGGCCCCCAGGCCCCAGAGCTCCCCGTCGGGGCCTCCTGCAGCTTCACTTGCGACAAGGGCTTCCTGCTGCGGGGACCCACCCGGGTTGAGTGCGCGGCGCAGGGACAGTGGACGCAGCAAGCGCCGGTGTGCGAAGGTGGGCAGAGCGCGCCCCTCCCCTGGGCCCAGGCCAGGCCTGTGGAACCGGCTTCCCCGGGCAGCGCTCACCCCCTCTCGGAGCCGCGTGGGCAAGACCAGCGCTCCCGGGGGCGGGGAGGGGACTGTGGAGGACAGAGTTGCGTGGGCTCCAGCTGTGCTGTGCCAGCCTCAGGCCGCGGGCGTGGGATAGGCAGGACTCCCTAAGGGAAATCGCACAGGAAACGTAGAAATCAGGCTCACGGAACACGCCTGGCACAGCTGCAGAGGCGCCCTCGTCACGCACAGAAGCCCCGACATTCAACCCCCTTTAGAGCAGGAGCAAGGATGTGGGGAACGGCAGGTCTCGCTACCAGCTGCTGACATTCTCGTAGCCACGCAGAGCACAGCTTTCCAGTGGCCGCGGCCACAGGACACAGCCTTCTGCAGAGCAGCCGCCCCGTGGCCGCCTCTTACTTCCCTTTGTTCCGCATCATCTGCGCACCTGGGACGTCAGTCGCTCTCTGACACACAGGTCCCTCTGCACCCTGAATTTTCCTCGAGGGTGCTCGGGAACCCAGGCCCCGGGAGAGGCTGTCCCTTGGTTAGCGCCACTGGCAATAGAGGGGTTGGGATTCAAGGAAAACACGGCCTTCCCGGTGGTGGGGAAACGAGGACTCTGGAGCCCTCGAGCGGCTCCTGGTCCGAGATGAGCCGGGCTCCTCCAGGCCCACCAGGGACTGCCCTTCCCGCCACATCTCCTGACCCCGGCTTTGGCGTTTCAGCTTTCCAGTGCAAAGCCCCGTCCCGCCCCCAGAGAGGCCACATCCACTGTCTTCCCAGCGCTTCCGGAACTTTCCAAACTGGGTCCAGCTGCGCCTTCTCCTGCGAGCAGGGCTTCGCGCTGAAGGGACCCGCCAGGCTCCAGTGCGGCCCCACGGGGGAGTGGGACAGCCAGGAGCCCACCTGCGAAGGTGCAGTTTCTGTTTTATTTTCTTTTAAGAGGAAAAACAAAACAATTGCAGGGCTAGGGGACTTGGTGACTTGGGGAACCGTGGCTGCAGGACAGGAGCAGACTTCTAAGGCTCACTCCTGTCTTCCAGCCGTGAGATGTGACCCCGTCCGCCGGCCCCAGAGCGGCTGGGTGAGGTGCCCCGGGGGCCCCGCTGGGGAGCTGGGCCCCGGCTCCTCCTGCACCTTTGGCTGTGAGGAGGGCTTCCAGCTGCGAGGAGCGGCCCGGCTCGAGTGCACGGCTCGGGGACAGTGGACACAGCAGGAGCCCTCCTGCCAAGGTGAGCCTGAAGTCAGACTTCAAGAGTATCTGTGGGCTGCTGAGCACAGATTGCCCCGAGGGCCCTGAGCCTCATAACTCCCACGTGCTGAGAGCCTAGTAGCGCCTCGACGTTATGCTCGAGTGCTGACTTTTCAGCCAGATTTGGAAGTTTTCCGGCGGATTCGCCTTAACCTCTCCCGGCCTATCGCCCGCAGCGGTCCGGTGCTCGCTCCTGGAGCCTCCCAGCAAGGTGAACGTGAGCTGCAGCGCCGAGCCTGTGTTCGGCGCCGTGTGCACCTTCGCCTGCCCCGAGGGATGGACGCTGAACGGCTCCGCGGCTCTGACGTGCGGCGCCACAGGACACTGGTCTGGGGTGCTGCCCACGTGTGAAGGTGAGCCGCTCACTGATGGACGGCGTCTGGGGGGTGAGAGCACAGAAAGGGAGTTATCCGGCTAAAGTAAAATGAAGGATCCGCTATGTCCAAGCCAGATGAGGCCAGAAGCGCTGGCCAGGTTAATGAGCTGGCGGACATTCACTGTCATGGGGACACAGAGGAAAGAGAAGAGGTGACATGTTGATAGAATGCGTAGAATATTGACGATTGGAAAAAGGAGAGCTAGGGGAAAGGAAAAAGACAGAGAGGCCAGGGGCAGTGTGTTTGCCTGGCGGTGGTTGGGGCAGATCCCCAAGGCCTTTTGTTTTGTCCCCCCCCCCCC